CGTAATATTAAGTGAATTATTTTACTTAAATGTTTCTCACCCTTATGCTCTTCACATAAGAATATGTAAATCTTCATGACAATTGTTACTAGTGGACTGGCTCAGGGGCCAGCGTTTAGATGGAGTGCCTCAGGAGCTGGTGTTTGGACCGTTGTCATTAGTGGGGGGCCTCAGGAGCTGGTTTTTGGAACGTTGTCACTAGTGGAAAGCCTCATTGGCTGGGGCTTGGACCGTTGTCACTAGTGGAGGGTCTCAGAGGTCGGTGTTTGGTCCCTAGTCACTAGTGGACTGCTTCAGAGGCCAGTGCTTGGTCCCTAGTCACTAGTGGAGGGCCTCAGAGGTCGGTGTTTGGTCCCTACTCACAAGTCGACTGCTTCAGAGGCCAGTGTTTGGTCCCTACTCACTAGTGGACTGCCTCAGAGACCAGTGCTTGGAATTAGTTTTCACTTATTTACATTAATGGTACAGACAGGGGCATAGATAGTAAATAAGTTACTTTAAACTTGGATATTTTTAGATGTATTGATGATATTACAGAATGACTTGGATCAATTGACAAGTTGGACAAACATTTGGTAAATGACCTTCAATTATAATAACTGTAAATTTGGATTCCACATTTAATACGGATTGGAACTAACTCAACAGTATAACTGAAGTAAAGGATCTTTACATAATGGTGGATAAGTCACTAAAGCTGTCGAAGCAGTACTCTGTTACTAGTAGTAAAGCCAGTAGGATCTTTACATAATGGTGGATAAGTCACTAAAGCTATCGAAGCAGTACTCTGTTACTAGTAGTAAAGCCAGTAGGATCTTTACATAATGGTGGATAAGTCACTAAAGCTGTCGAAGCAGTACTCTGTTACTAGTAGTAAAGCCAGTAGGATCTTTACATAATGGTGGATAAGTCACTAAAGCTGTCGAAGCAGTACTCTGTTACTAGTAGTAAAGCCAGTAGGATCTTTACATAATGGTGGATAAGTCACTAAAGCTGTCGAAGCAGTACTCTGTTACTAGTAGTAAAGCTAGTAGGATCTTTACATAATGGTGGATAAGTCACTAAAGCTGTCGAAGCAGTACTCTGTTACTAGTAGTAAAGCCAGTAGGATCTTTACATAATGGTGAATAAGTCACTAAAGCTGTCGAAGCAGTACTCTGTTACTAGTAGTAAAGACAGTAGAATTTTATAACACTTCATTACAAGTCAAAAGAAGTAATTATCTTTCTATATAAATCAAGTTAGGCTACACTTGGAATACTGCGTACAGTTTCGGTATCTTCATCTGGCTACACTTGGAATACTGCGTACAGTTTCAGTATCTTCATCTGGCCACACTTGGAGTACTGTGTACAGTTTTGGTATCCTCATCTGGCTACACTTGGAATACTGTGTACAGTTTCGGTATCTTCATCTGGCTACACTTGCAACTGTACACAGTATTCCAAGTGTGGCCAGATGAAGATACCGCAACTGTACACAGTATTCCAAGTGTGGCCAGATGAGGATACCAAAACTGTACACAGTATTCTAAGTGTAGCCAGATGAGGATACCGAAACTGTACACAGTATTCTAAGTGTAGCCAGATGAGGATACCGAAACTGTACACAGTATTCCAAGTGTGGCCAGATGAAGATACCGGAATACTGTGTACAAGTTTCAGTATCCTCATCTGGCTACACTTGGAATACTGTGTACAGTTTTGGTATCCTCATCTGGCCACACTTGGAATACTGTGTATAGTTGCGGTATCTTCATCTGGCCACACTTGGAGTACTGTGTACAGTTTCTGTATCTTCATCTGGCCACACTTGGAGTACTGTGTACAGTTTTGGTATCCTCATCTGGCTACACTTGGAATACTGTGTACAGTTTCGGTATCCTCATCTGGCTACACTTAGAATACTGTGTACAGTTTCGGTATCCTCATCTGGCTACACTTAGAATACTGTGTACAGTTTCGGTATCTTCATCTGGCTACACTTAGAATA